CCGCCGAGAGGCCCAACCAGTGCCAACTGTTCTGCCAACTCCAGGAGCAGTGCTGTTCGCATCGTATTCGGTCATGTCATGATGTTGATTCCTCACAGAATATTGTGATCCTTGTAGTGCAGCTGATCTTTCTGAGAATGACAAATCGTATGACATGGATCAACCTGAGATTGAGCCCTCATTTAGTGTGGATTTGAGGCTTGGAGCTGATTGCCTGTGGCTGAGGATATCCGGTATATCATAATAAGTGGCAGTGCCAATTTACCAGCGCGATCTTGATGGTCCCATGTAGGTATGATGTAGTCATTATGTTACGACTCGTTCGCCAGGCTCAACGGTGATCCCCGCAACTTATATTTCTTTGCTCGAGTGCCATGAGACGTTGAGAAATCGTGTGCGACACGCCGCCAGGCCGCTGTCGTAGGCGAAGGACGGATAATTTGTCGAAGACTCCCGTACGCTCCCGATAACTTTGTATCTGCGCAGAAGGTGTGAGACACCAAGAGGGATGCCGAAAGGACGCCTAAGCCGGCGCTTACAGTGAACGGGACCGTGATTTGGCGGTGATCGCCCGAGGAGTCACATACGGTGACTAGTACAGCAGAGCTCGTGCACGAGGGCTCGTCTCAGAACAATGTACTATGTTGTGGTCACTGCTCGGCACCTCCTATCCACTTCGCCTCATTCGTCAAGGATATGTATTCCGCACCATTCGTTATTCTCGCACAGCCGTCGCGACAGCAGGCAGCAAGGCATCTCATGTACTCCTAACGGTTAGGACGGCGAGACGAACTCTCCTTGACATTCGGCCTGTGTCCCCTTTGGTTGCGATGAGTGCAAGGGAATTTCACAGCACTCCTACGCAGAAGGGACCATACATCCCTATTCTGCTCTCGTTTTTAAAGGTATGCAAATTGGTGGGCTCTTGCATGTCAAGTGGCTGAACGTATATCCCCTCGGGATATCTATGTTGTCTGCAGACGTCAAGCGCCATTCAAGTTGCAGGAACTGTTTCCAGGATAGCGCTGACATTCATCCCGGTCGTATTTCTTAAGAATCTGAAGGGGCGGAAGATACTGCAAAGGATCGACCACAAAATGAGTAACGGACATACCAATCTTGACGAGAAAAGGGCTACGTTATCGAAACGAGTTCGACAGAGCACTATCCTGTTTCATGTACTGCTCTTCACGCCAGTTGTTTTATTCTGGTTGACTATCCTGGCGAGCTTGGAGAGGACACCTCTGACAGGCAGGTACGCAGCCCGCAGCACTCTAGTTTCCCATCGGCTGAGTCTCTTTTGATAAGGTGGAGACTAATTCTTCTCTCCCCCGAAGAAGAAGAGGATATTTCTGCCCAGTTGGCAGGTCCAGGGTGGTATATAGCTGTTGGAGAAATCCTGTCGCAGAATGGCCCGCCAAAACTGCTTGATCCAGGTGACTGGCGATTTGGGTGGGTGCAGGACACATTGCGGCAGCTGGAGGCCGTGATTCCGGTACTGCAAAATGAGAAGGAATTACTCCCAGACTGGATGGATCCTGATTCTTTCGGTATTGAGCGCCCACCACCCGCAGACTATCCCCTTCGCCCGCGTCCTCGTGCATCGGATTACTTCCGTCGATTTGCAGAGGCCGCATCTTCGCGTACAGTGCCTTCTGCACCCCATGTCATCCCGGGACCACCGTACTCGTTACTTGTCGTCGATCAGCCTGATTCATCTAATGCGTTCTCGTACGGATTTGGACCTGACGGGGCTGGCGGCGTCGTCGTGTTTTCGGGCTTTCTAGACGACATTCTGTCGAAGCATCCTACATCCTCGGGAGCACCTCCCCCGGCACGGACGTCGTGGTTCTCGGGCCTTTTCGGTGGCCTGTTCACGCTAGGCACGCGTGTGCCTCCACATCCGACTCCAACTGAAGAGCAAACTTCGGAATTGGCGATACTGCTCGCGCACGAACTTGCTCATTTACTACTCACGCACCACATCGAGACGCTATCATCTGGTTCGATAATATGGCCCGGCATCATGTCTATCGTGACGGACGTCGTGCGCACGCTACTGTTCCCTTTCACCATGCTTTGTACGTTGCAATCTGAATTGATGATGCAGGCTCTTTCGTATTGACGTGATCGACATAGTTGGGCCGTTCATTAACGACGCCCTTGCGGGAGTAGGCAAGGCCAGTTCTGGGGAGTTTGCAAAATTAACCGAATACTGTACAAGTCAGGCGCAGGAAATTGAAGCTGACATCGTATCTGCGAGGTTTGCCCTTCGTTATCTAGTGATTTTACTGTTTATCATAAGCTGTGTAGATTACTTGCCCATGCTGGCTTTGACCCTCACCACGCACTGCAATTCTGGGAGGGCCGGCAGGAAACCCCACAAACGGCGGAGTGCTCGCCTGCCTATGCAGAAGCAAAACACGACGAAACATTGCAACACCGCTGGGTGAGCTCAACTCATCCCGTGAATGTCGTACGCGTGCAGAAGCTCAAGGAGGAGCTGGATCGCTGGGAGACTGCTAGGTCGAAGGCGCGCGAGCAACGGCAAGCAGAATACTTAGAATGATACACTTTTGACTGCAAGTGTGCAGAATTCAGATGTCAGTAGTCTTTCCTTTAGTTTATATAGTTGCATCTCCTGCCGCTCTCGATATGCTCGTAAGTACTGTATTCATAACAGGTGTCAGTCGTTCGCACAATTCTTTTGTTGTTATTGCTTCCTATTCTGAAAGGCGGAACATCACGGACCAGGTCGTCGGACCCTCGTTTGACAATGAGCGAGCTGACTTTGAACAAAATCTGGAATCTGGAGACAATTTCAAGCGAGTCTAGCCTACGCCTCGCCCTAGCCATGCTCATCCTGAGCGCGCGTCGAAAGTGAATAGCCACGACGACAAACCCTTTACACCATAGGACATAGTAACAGCTGCGAAATCTATAGAATTAGAATTTAATTGCCTGTACCACATGTTACAGAGAGAATTCTAATGGCTGTGCAGGGCAAGATTCTCCTCGCCCTGATAGTCAAGAGCGTAAACTGCAGAATAGTTAGTTTGGGTAGAACCGATGATAGTGTGATACTCACCAGAGCCGCACTCGGGGCAGCGCCTGTTCTTCTGATTTGTGAGGTTCATCCACAGGAGCTCATGAGACTCTGCAGGGCTACCAGTGCAACCAATGATACGCGTGTGCTCCTACAGTTATAACGGAGGAAACACATAGATATGAGCCATGAAAATTGCAAAGTAAAGGGACTGCGACATACGAATGAGGGCACTTTCACAGGGTCGGCGAGCGTGCCAATTCTGCTCGAATCCAGCGGCTTGAGATCGAATACCTCAACACCCTCCTTTTCACCAAGCACCTGCACACGCTCGAGACCAGTCGCCTGAATATCGTCAGAAGGGACTTCTCCGGCCTTTGCACCAGGGCCAATGATATGGGGACCTTCACCGCCAGAAAGACGGACAGACGTGGTAGAAAGGGCGCGGAGTGCAACGGGAGATGTTCTGAGGGAACGACGGGCAGCGATGCTTGCTGAACGGATGGCAGCTGAGAGCATGATTTTGGGTGCGTGAACGACAGCAGACTATGGTGATGGAGCGCGACGGGTTTGCTCGGAAAGTGTGGTGACGCGACCGTAATAGTGTGACCATAGCGCGTGTATAACGTGACGACTGTGACATTGGCTCGTCGGCGTTCCCAAATTAGCTTGGTGTTGGGCGACATGGCCAGGAAAGGCAGCTCTCTTGGATCGAAGCTGCAAGCCCGCTGTCATGTTGTAACGTCCCCGAAGCCCACGTTGCGTCTTTCCCTTTAACCCATTCTCTCCTTCTTCTTGTCGTGATTTTATATAATACCTATCACTCTGGGCTTGCGCTTGGCGACCTGCCCTTGGCCACTGGTGGCCTTCACACTCGTTCAAAATTACGACCTAGCAACATACTACTCATCGATACCACAAACATGCTGTTATCCCCTCTTCCCTCTACTGCGGAAAATTTTACGTCGCACCATCACGGTCGCACATTGCCTCATCCTTCCCAGCGGCTATATCCTGAACATCTCCGTGCGATCCCTTTGCCAATCATGACTCGCAGTACATCACAGCTATCCGCAACATCAGTCGGGTCATATTCGTCAACGACGGAGCTTGTGCCTCGCAACGAGCCTAATGAGCAAAAGCGAGTTAGCCTGAGTGAGAAACTGATGTCTTGGGGCTGGCGATCAAGCGAGAAGGCGCCTGATTCCGAGATGAATGAGCTTGGCGTTCCAGGTAACGACGGCGGTGGCCAAGTCAAGAAGAAGCACATGAAGCTTTGGCAAGGCTGGCAGTACATATTTTTCGGTTCATGTAACGGCTTTCTTTTTGGATGGAGACCTTCATAATGACAAACTCAATTTACAGGGCTGAACGTATTCCTCTTACTTATACCGATAACGGCGCGTATATTCTACTCATAGCTCTGTACAAGCTGATTAATGCTATGTAAACAGTGGATTCTAAAACTAGCAACTACAAACTCCGATACGTTGATATTTACATGTAGGACTATTTTGTCGTGAGTCTATGAGTTACTGACATGGTGGTACTATAGCTTGTATGCTAGCTATGATACCGCTAGTGAAGGTAGGTAAGGTTTTACTAATTGATAAAGCTCACACATTCATGATGTCTTGCAGTTACATGACCTCGCCATAAGTGTACTTTCACATCGTATCGGCGGCTCGAAGACAGGTCTACTAAACGCTAGCTTTGTACGATTCCCACACTACTAGTTTCAATGCTTTTCTGATCCTGACCCTTGCACTTTTGCAGAGCAACATGTGAGTTTATCTAAGATTACTTCAATAAGGGACAGTCTGATTTCTATACTCACACTTACATTTGGTGCACAGAGTGGAGCTGGTTGTCGCGGTCAGTGTCTTCCCCATCTGCTCTGTCAATATAAACGTATGTCTTCTACAGATTATCGCTCTCCGAAAATGTGAACTTCGAGTGGTGCAGTCCTCTTGTAAGTCTCTGATGATACCTTGAGTTTGTTGTTGCTGACAATGCCGTATTATTTTCATCAGTGATCGGCTCAATTCTAAGCAAAATGTGTGCGTTATACTACCTATCCGCGCGGAAAAATACGGATCAATTTTCATGTCCATACATTTATAGTGCTCATTCTCGGCATGTGCTTTTTTGCGGGCGGGCTCAAATTCTCTCAGCAGGATTTTGATTCGAGTGGGTCTGTCGCGCGTTGGTATGGTGGATATAATACTGACAAGTGGTTTCTGAATCTGAATCTGAATCCCAATCCTAACCCGACAAAATACAGCTGCAACGCAGATTCATTCTTCATTGCTGAGTATCAGTGTCGGCGCCGTCTGTCTTCCAGCTGCGTATCACTTTGCGTTGTCGTACAATTCTGAGGATGCGATGGAGGCAGGGACGACTCTCGACCAGCAGAAACGAGATCTGTTGAAGATGAGCCACAGCGTGAGCATCTCATCCATTCCAAGCATGCCAATCATTGATGCATGTCTTGTCTAGGTGTCGTTTCTTCTTATATTCAGTGCGTCTTTTGTTGGTTCATGACATGTTCAAGAACTCAGTAGCTGTCTCCGTTCACCACTGAAGTTTACGTCTCGTACCTGCTGTTTCAACTCTGGTCCCATACACATCTTTACAAGGACAATTCGAAGCCCAGCGACAAGCTTCCTGTAACAGCCTCCATGCGCTCTGTCACTGGACGTGTACGGCGGAAGAGTAACACGGGGCGCTCACATTCCCAGCCTACCTCTTTCCGGTCCGTACAGTCAAAGCAATCGTTCGCTGGAGCGGCCCGGCATGGAATGGACAAAGCTAGCCCTGTGGAGGAAGCGCCAGAGACAACTCTGGATTCACCAATTGACAATATGGGCGTCTCTGCAGCCCAGGCTGAGAGGAAGGCCTATCTATTGTCGCCATTTGGTACTACATCTCAGGTGACCCTCAATATGAGCGAATTTGGGATGCCCGCACGTTGTGATCCAACCGTGCGACTGGTGCGTGAGAAGGAACGAGAGCGCGGTCGTAGTGGCAGAGGTTCCTTCAGTGATGGATCGACTTCTTCGGAGGATTTGGAAGATAGAAGAACTTTAGCAGAAAGTGGCCGGGCGTCACCTGTCAGCGATGTGGTTTCTGCCTACTTTACGGAGCGCGGGGACTACGTACACCGGTCCAAAGCCAAGGATAGGAAACTCAAGGGAAATGGGGGGATCCAAGTAGATGTCATGGAAGTTTGCAGAGGAGGAGCACACAACGCGAATGGGGCAGACGAGTCAGATACTCCGACAGGGAAGCACGGAGAAGAGGTGCCTGAGATGAGTTGGACCATGATCCTCATCCTGCTCACTGTTGTCACGGTGGTGAGCTGCCGGAAGCATGTCTCCTTGGCAGAATATCCATGCTAACCCTGTAACCGATTGTGACAATAGCTTGTGACCGTTGATGCGGAATGGCTCGTAGACTCAATGGACAGCCTCTCTCCGACGCTCAGCAAAGAATGGATCGGACTCATTTTATTGCCTATTGTCAGCTCTATCGCCGGTACGTTTCTAAGTCATAGGAACATATCCACTTGGCTTGACGACCAGCTTCAGAATGTGTCACTGCTGTGAACGTTTCAGTAAAGGACCAGCTGACGTTGAGTATCAGCGTCGCAGTGGGCTCTACCATCGTAAGTTATCGTAGTTAGTATGTGAGATGCGGCATCTCAAGCTCTCATTCTTGTCCCACCTGGATAGCAAACCGCGCTTTTTGTCATCCCATTTATGGTGATATTGGGTTGGATACTCAATAAGCCCCTCGCCTTGCTGTTCGACCCTTTTGAGACTGTGGTGCGAGGATTCACATTTACATGGCATACGTGAGTTTAACCCACATATCCCTAGGTGCTCTACGTTTCTGGTAGGCACTTCTCGGTTCAATCCTCGTACAAACTCATCTCTTAACGATTAGTGCACATAATGGGCTACGTTGTTGCCGACGGCAAATCAAACTGGCTTGAGGGTGTCATCCTCATGTGTGAGTGCATCGCACAGTTGTCCTCTTACGTTGTTTGAGCTGACATCGACTGTAGGTCTTTATCTCGTCATTGCTGTTACCTTCTGGTATTACCCAGGTATATATGCAAACGGCTGGCACCGAATGTTTCAGTTGATTCATATCCAAACACAGGATCCAGCTTCTCAAGCAATCTCGCGGTGTGTGTCGATACACTGGTACCCGCGTAGCGACTCTCGGCCCGATGGCAGGCGATGTCTTGCTGGTCAACTTTTCGAGTAGTTCATCACACGGACTTGATATCCCTTATACCTTCGCATGGCATATTAGAGAATACTGTATCACATTTTCATTGATGTATCGATAGATGTAGACGTGTATAGTAAAATGCATTCCACAAGCCGTATTATTTCGCCCGATTGCCACAACACCAGACTTGTGATAGAACGGCCTTCCTCATTACGCTCTCAAGATTGTTCTCTAAAGGTTGCTTAGTAGAAACTAAGCCTGTGATGCCTTGGGCACGTAGCCAACATGCTGGTCCGAGGGCTCGAATGGTCTGACAGGCGGCGCTATGAACTAAAACTCGCTATAGATATCTTTACTAGGTCATATATTAGTGCTCGATATGTGAAAATTCTATGTTAGCGGGTGTGGCTCTGTCCTCGAGGCAGATAGGAATGGCCACAAGTATATGCGCGAAACATCATCGCGCTCTACAAATAACCTCCCCGCCCAAGTTAAGTTGCAACGCCTCCCGCGCTTCCAACCATTCGTGCTCCGAGCTTTTTGTCCGCACCACAGCGATCTCACCCATTCGCAACGGCTTGATCGTCTGCGCCCTTCGACCCGAGCACAACCTTTGAATCTCGCTCACGTCCATGAAGACAGGTTTGCTTGGTCTGCTGATGAGTTCCATATCGTTTAGAACTGGTCTGTCATCACGGTATTTGAGATTTGCCCATATGCGGCGCTGGGCATCCCCGGCCTGGAGAAATGCAGTAGGCGAAGGTTCTTCTGCAGTTCCACGCGTGACCGACATGAGAAAGCCTGCGCGGAGGAGAATGGACAGGATGGCGAGATTCTGAGTTGTGTGCGAGACGGCTATGCTTCGGTGTCGCGCACGGAACGCATTTTGGACGTGCGAGCACAGGTTATGTGGTAGCACCATATCTATGGCTATATGGTAAGATAAAATGAGCACTTCTTAATTTACGACAGAACGACGGAGAGTACACACCTGGTCCACGTCTGAGGTCGACGAAGCTGAGAGCCCGGTCGCGTCCAAGAATGGGAACCTATTCACGAGCGTCTACAGGACCCGGCGCCGACGGCGACTTCACTGTCTTACTCGCAACCGTACATAACGAATTCAGCATTCGTTCGTCGTCATCCAAGCATATAATCCTGCCGGGTGTCTTCCTTACCGACATTACTTTGTATCTTCTTGGGCGGGTAGCTGGCAATCTCAGCGTGCTGCACACTCGACTATTCATACTTTCACTCTAACGCTGAACTTAGGGCTCTCAGAGTATATGTCCCTGACCTAATTCCGTTTTGCGGTGAACGAGATGCATCAAACCATCATACGCCTTGCTGAGTCCGTCTCGAAAAGACCCTTGAACCTCCGAGAAGCCAGCGCAGCTCTACTACCTCCAATACCGTAAGGGCCCGTCACGCTTTTGCCTCCCGAACCCCAATCTTCTGAGGATATTCCCGGAACAGTTTATATCGGAGAATTCTACGTGCCCACCGCTCACTTCCGCATGAGATGCGCTCATTAGGCGATGACTATGTGAAAGCAGGTTCGGACGCATTTCATTCTGTACATCGCTTGCCTTACCACACTTGGGCTTCTGTGAATTGTGTCTTAGAGTTTCGCCGTCACAAGGATGTCACCAACAAGGTGCATGTAATTGGATTCCTCTCCCAATGGAAGGTGTACCTCGACGAGTTGCCATCCGGCGCGGACACCGAGCACTTCAGCGGCAAGAAGCTGGATCCTACAGTGTTAGAGAAGGTCTGTCATACTGGGGATCGTCGCAGAAGACCGCTTTCTCAGCCTTACTCCTCCCCCATAGATGTCAACAGAGCAACTCGGTCAGCTGTACGAATTGATGAATGCGACAAAGGAAGTTTGGAGAACGCCCGGAGACCGTACGAGATCTTAGAGGCGCCCAGTTCTCAAATTATAGTTATGTCCAAGGTATGAAGTCGCGCCATCGCACCGGGTTCCCTTTTGACGAATGACCTACAGCATGACACGTAGCACCATGTCCTGTGATATGTGAATGAATCTTGATACTGAAAGATTTTAGAAAGCCCACCGCGACCCTCCAAGGAAATTTGAACTGGGCGGTTGTACAATTTGAAGTAAGGAAGATTACGGGGTGGTTGCGTTGTCTCGACCGCCCGCCTGAATACAGAACTTCTTGCGGATAGAATCGGGTTGAGCTGTTCTGATCTCAGCTAGTCGTTTTGCCGCTTTCAGTTTGCAGCCGTGCTTCCTCCCACACATTAGTCCACTTCAGAAGCTCAGGTCGCGAGTTCTTCCACTTGAGCTCGGAGGTTTTCTACCCGTTCCGTCTCCTATCACGTGTATGCTCTTGTGATGAAACGGAGTGAGACTTCATAAGAACGGCCAGTCCTCTTGCATAGCTCAACAACTTTCCCCCTCTCGTACCCCGCTGGTCATTTGTCTATCTGCAAGCATGTCCCTGGTGAGCTCTGCTATTCCATCATCTCTGTTTAGGCGATTTATAACGCATTTGTGCGTGATATATAGAAAGTCAATGCTACGAGCGAGCCTTTCGCCGACCTCCCCCCGATCTGCGCAACTCTGTTTGAAGCAAAGGCCAAGAAAGGCGCGTTCGGGTACTTTAAGGATGCTCGTGTGTGCCGATAGATTTTTCCGTTACTAGGAGTTACCTTCGAGGATATCGCTAAAGCCATCGGTCGCGACGAGGTCTGGGTCGCGGCAATGTTTTACGGTCAGGTACGCATCGACCTGATATCCACGTCTGCATGGTCATCCAATAGGGAATTATGCCGCAGGCGAAACTCTCGGCGGATGAACTCGCTTCCCTGGCACAGTTCCTCAACATCCCGGCGGAGAGCGTGAAAGCCGACATCGGTGCAGAGTGGTGGCCGCGCCGTGGACTTGGCCCTATGCCTCCCACAGACCCTGTACTTTATCGATTGTACGAGGTAGGCAATTCAGGATCCGAATAGCTACACCACTTGTATCTGATGCATTCTATAGGGCGTAATGGTTTACGGGAATGCTATCAAGGTAGGCTGATTCCGCGGAACGTACAAAAATCTGATCTATCTTTATCTGACTGCTCCCAGGCGATTATACACGAGAAAGTATGTCTAGTGCTTCCGTTCTAGATACGTACGCATGTTCTGACATCCACGCAAATTTAGTTCGGAGACGGTATCATGTCCATGATCGATTGCAAGGTGAACATTGAACGCAAGCCTGATCCCAAAGGTGACCGAGTGATCCTCACGTTTGAGTATGTCACATTCGAATCAGTTGGAGGGTGTTGCACTGACATCAAATTGCAAGTGGGAAATTCTTACCTTATTTGAAGTGGTGATATCCCAGGCGGCCTGTTTTCTTATGCAATTGTAAATATACTCCCAAGAGCTCCTACGAGAGTCCGCGAATGATAACACTAGCGCATATTGCTAGAATACATGGTCGTGTGATTGAAATTTGACAGTATGTCAAAGTTCCGACCGTCTCAAATTTCAACGCCTCGGTTACGGTAGCAGATGACTTGGCATAATGGTGACGCTATCATACAAATATATCGGTCAGACCCCAACGAACCGGAGCATCTTATCCGTACATGTTCGTCATGCTCGTATTTAAGCGACTTCGATTGCAAAACCCATCGCCCTCTTGCCTATAGGGCTCTCAATGTCTTCTGGCCTGCCGACACCAGCATAGCTGCCTTCACCATTGGTGGCCGGGAAGTCGGGAGGCGCAATTCCCTTGACGAAGTTCTCTTTCTGTCTGGCAACGTAGGCAGCGTTCTGAGGGGTGAAAGGAACGGCCGGAATATACATTACTGGATGGTCACGAGTTGCACCGTCAACATATGGTCACAAGGTTAGCAAATAATACTTACCGGCCGAGTCGCCAGTGCCCGTGTGCTCCTTCTCGACAGCGTGGACAACGTCCTGTTAACGTGAAATATTAGGTCTGGCGTACGTTGTCAAGGTGAGACAGAACTAACGCAGTGCCAAAAAACCATATCTCCGGGGTAAACTTTGGGGACCGACACCATAGTTTTTTCGAGCTTCATGTGTGGGTGCGTCTTGGTGTTTGGCCAGGGCCCTCGGAACCCAGTCCCGGTAGAGTAAACACCGGGGAAATCGGGCGATGAGATATCTGCATGACCTTACATGTCAGCCAACGAGGCGTTCTGCTTACTTATTACTACGTGCCATATTCCCAGTTCTTCGCGTCGAGAGCATTCTCTGTGCCCGGGATTTGACGGAAGAATGGGCGGAGGATCGTGTAGGCATTCGACAGGTATACGCTAGGGAACACCTGAAGTGTGCCTTCGCGAGGGGCTGTCTCGCTGTTGGATATTTTAAATGGACGAAAGCTGCGATAGAGCAATGTATGTACCTAACAGCAAGCCAGCCTTGGTAAGTCCTGAACACTGTAGCCTATTGAGATAAAAACCACTTGAATGATAGCTTGTAGGAATATCGAAAGGGCGATTACCTGTCCAGCACGACCATACATCGAACTCCTAGCATTGATACGGTTCTCGAGATCGTAGGGGTCATGGTCACGCCAATTACCATTGAGAAGGTCTGCGAAACATTTGCGGAACGTGGGGTCCTCCCATCGCTCAATTCCACCACCTACTCGAGGCTGTGAGTATTGTTACTGAAAGGAAGGCCACTTACCATCAACATGGGGGGGATGAGCGTCCCACTGCACACCGGGGTGACGAATACGGAACCGGTCTGCGTAGATAAGAGGGGTCGACAGGTCGACGTTCTCTATCTTAGCGCCAGATTTCACGTGATACATGTTATTGAGCCAGCTTGTTACCGCTAGGACATTCGGATGTCCACGAGCGCGGACCTGTGACTTCGTCCAGCTGCATAATGTTAATAAAATTATTGCAGCGGTTGCAACGTAGACTTATGGCACGTACTACAGCTGGAAGAACTGTTTATCTTCTACAGGGAAACCTATAGAACAAGTAATCAATCACTGCAGACATACAATTGTACTTCAATATGCACGGACCGTCAATGCCAGGGTTCGTGGAAACATATTCCTGCAACCAGTCTTTCCAAGAAGATGCTTCTGCATCATCGACGACGTCGCGGACGACCACACTCCCCTTGCGACGGATTTCTTCAACGCGCTCCGGACCAAGGTTTGCCAATTCCGAGAATGTGACTTGAGGAACATACTGAATGAATAACCTCAGGAGCAAGCAAAGTGTCAACTAGAGAGATACTTACCTCCGTTCCTTGGTCAGTAATCTCTGCCGTGACCTGCTCGAGCTCTACGAGGAGCTCATTCCAGGCTTTTGTGATACGCTCCTGAAAGTTAGGATGGGAAGCAGCAATGTCCTTCTTGATTTCGACAAAACGAGGAGGGCAAGGACCAAGATCCGGCTTCGACATGTTGAATGGAGGTAGGGTGAGTTGACTACTGGGGTCACAACTATCGTGGTCCTCCTGGGATCTTTTATACCTGGGGGCACACCTTCGCTAGCGTCTCAGGGGCCGCAAAATTGGTACGGACCGCCATCCGTACTCGTTGTAAGATCACAAGGTACGTCGAAACAGCAAGTGGAAGTGACAATATTGATTCTGCTGGTGATCACACATGCATTGTAGCTGGAGTGCTGAGCAATGGTTTCTCCACTGCTTGTCAGCGCTGGAGTCGCAGGAGGCTCGCACGCAGGTGAATAACAAGACTCTGACACCCACGTCTAGCAATATTTTGGTGAATGGGAGTGTCGCTTACCTACTGCTGGTCGTGAGACGGGGAAATCTCGGAGTTACTTATGGATTAGCAGTACGGTTGCTTCTATTTTGAAGACGCCTTTACGAACGATCGAGACCACTGGGGAATGATGCGACTACTATATAAACTGCGGTCAGTACGTCAAGACTGTGAACATGACCAGTTGAGCGTCTGCTTAGGGATTCGGAGTGACGGAGCTCCACTGCACGGGATGCACTGCAAGCTAGGACTCGCGCTGTATAAAGCGATCGATTACGGAGTGGCACGACAGAAAGTCATTAGTATCGTAGACAAATGCAATCAGTAGATCTCGCCGACGGGCAATAGAGAAAAATACTGATAGATAGACAGGCCAGACTCGAACCATTCGCCGATAGGATGCATTATTCGACCACATCATCCTCACCAGTATGCCCGATTCCCCCGTCCTCGTATTCGTATTCTTCTTGATCATCGGCCTCAAGAGTTGCCTCTTGATACTGGGTTTAGATAGTTTCAATCAGTCATACGACGTAGGAATACCATTCACAAAGCATCACCTGCTGATATTCGGATCTAGTTGAAACGATCAATGAATATATTCAGGAAGCAAAAACCTGAACTTACATCAGGTCATGCGCATTACTCTCAGCTTCAGAGAACTCCATCTGATCCATTCCTTCTCCTGTATACCAGTGAAGGAAGGCTTGGCGCTTGAACATCACAGCAAACTGATTAAACATGTTAACAAACATGACAGATATAAATTGCTATGAAGTTTACCTGTGTCAAAGTACGCTGGAAGACCTCCTGGACTGCGGTCGAATTCGCAAGACACGTTGCTGACTATCCCCAATCATAGGCTGTTTTGTACAAGTAATATTCATTGCGACAGCTTACCTGAGTCTGGCCGACTGGTGGTACTGAGCACAAGCCTACTGAGACATTATCCGGAATCCATCTAGGAAGAAAGGTGAGATGGGATCATTGTTGAGCTGGCTGTTTAAAGGAGGCATACTCGACAAATTGGTTTGAGTTCTTCCTCTGTAACTCTCCAACCGAATGCTAGATGCTGAGTATGGGCAATGATGACAATGATGACATTACCGAAAGTACATACTTCTGCCTATTTAATATGTCAGATTTCGGAAAAACCTAGCAAAGGAAGAACACTAACCTCTTGGGAAGATACCTTCCCTCGGAAAATTGTCGCTGCTGTAAGGTACCGACTGTAGTAGTGCATGAGTAAAGCACCTAACTTATAATGGCGACACCTACCCAAATCGAGGGTCACAGGCAACAAGCAGACTCCTCCGATCAAATAGTCTAGCCGATGTATTTATTAGCAGTGAGTAAAGCATGTCATCTCCTAAGAAAGCTAGACCCACGCAGATGTCAGATCTGAGACACTGAGGCGAACGAATGCTTTCGCAGTAGGGTCGTAAAAAGGAGCATAGCTCGGCATGAGGAAATGCAGCTGCATGAAGAACCTAAGACCACTGTCGAAAACAAAACGTGAAACATCCCTACCCGAGGAAATGGAACTAGATTCAATCCAAGCTTCCGAAGGTCACTGGGAGAATGTCTTTCGTCAGTCCCACGATAACCATAGGAAGGGCCCTTCTGTATCACCCATTCAGTTGCCCAGGGAACCGCAAGCTAGTACTGACTCCACACATCACTTGTGAAACCAGCTGTGTATTATCAACATTAAGAGATGAATCCCGGCAAGGGCTTCGACGCACCACATTGAGATCAGAAAAGGCGGGCGCTTTGACTTTCAACGTCCGGACGGTGATATCGTATCTATTAATAATCAGCAAATCAATCATGCTCATGACGTTAAAACACGTACAATGCCTCGTTATCAATGCACATAGTCAGATCGCTATTTTCAACCAATTGATGGATGGATAGTAGGGCATTGTATGGCTACCTACCGGTCAGGCCAAGGACATTCAAGCTAGTGTGATACGCACCTCAACAACAGTTTCTGACACCTTCGTTTTATTACTAGTCAGTAACTCATCGGCGAAAGCAACATCAAAAGCCCACTTTAGGAGACGGAAGGATAGAGAAAGTAGAAACCATCCTATCAGGATATTCCTACAGTATTCACATCAGGGGGCAAACCAGTGGGCAAACAGCAAACACAACTTCTCGGAATTTAGATAGGAGGAGCGAGCCTAATCCAGCACCGGTGCCTCCGCCCAGGGAGTGGATCATCTGGAATCCTTGTAGAGCATCGCAAGACTCGGCCTGCCGACGAACGATATCCTAGAAGCACATACATAGTAGTATGAGGAAAGCAACGAGATAGCAGCTGCATGAAAGCGTACCAAAATCGAATCCACAAGTTCCGCGCCTACGCCTGATCAACTAATATCTCCTAAACCTCTGAAAAACTCACCTTCGGTGTAAACTGATTCCCGGGGTCAGTCGTAGTCCCGACGCAGAGGCCCTACAATTACTCACAGCCTTTAGCCCAGTTGTTCCCAGCGCCACTGTCGCCAGTGATAAACGTGTCGGGCCGGAACAAACTACCCATCTTCCCCGAGCGTATCTAACATTTCTGTGATCAGAAAATCACGGCGAGAGCGCACGAAAAGAGCATATTCACGTGCGAGCATACACCCTCTTCCAAATCGATCTGGACACTACGCGGAACATATTTGCTCGGTCCATTTGCTTGCTCGACTTCCGTGAAGAAGACGTCCACCTAAGCATACAGATTCGTGATAAGGCAGTCAAAACAGGTACGAGATGCAACACGCATACCATAGGAAGCTGTAGTGGGTCGTCTCCTTTATAGAACTATTGCGCAATCATCAGTGCGTAAACTGCATTCTAAGAGAATATCGCATACACCATCGTCATCCAAGCCATGCTCAGCCAAGAGCATGCTCCAAAAGCTCTCTCCGACCTGATTCCCAGCCTAATAGTCCAATATAAGATTTTGCTCGTGGTGCGAGCAGCTCAAATAACTGTCTAACCTGGCCTGCCTTTAAACGTCATAGGAGTTAGTTCAAATACCGCGTTATCACGCGCCACTTACCTGAACATTAATGATCTCTCGTGGCATTTCGTGAAGGGGGGTATACAAGGGAGGAAGTATGCGGAAAGGAGTCAGGACACGACCAGCTTCAGAAGACAGAACGTGTGGTGCGGACGCGAGGTTCGGCAATTGCCGCCATCTTATAAGCCGTGAGGCGAGGCACGATGCGTGAATTTAGCTACGGCGAACGTTGACTCAACGTAGCAACTTCTGGAAAGGGAGGATATGCGTCGCATGCACAGATACTGGGAATATACATATCTGGATACTAAACGAGACCGGCAGAGGTACAAGACCAATTGTAACGGGTCTAAATAAGTATTGAAATAAGCCACTGGCACACCACACCACTACTACTTAGCATGTGGTACATAAATCCAAATCACTTACTTTGCTACAAAATCCTTACGTCACTAATCCTATCAAACAAATGCGCAGCTCGTGGAGACATACAAGTCGCTACATTGCCGGATCTACAATGCTACTACTCGACACACCGATATAGGCAAAGCATTCTACACATCTATAGAAAATATAGAGAATATACAGATTATGTCAGAAAAGATTCCATAGTCTATTGCGGTCTTGAAGCGATAGTGTGTCACGGCGGACAACCGATGCAGCCCGTTCGAAACCAGTCCAGGTCGACCTGCGGCGCAACGAACGGCGGTGAAGAGACTGAATTTCACTGTAGAAGAAATAAGAATGAGACAGAAAAGGAAACTTTGGGAGAAACGTACCACATGGGATTCAATGTGCTACTTATCGGTTCTCTGGCCAATGTAGGACTCGGCTGCGGAGATGCCACGATTGGAGATGAAGATGGAGATCCGGAAATGGTGGAAAATGACACAGGAGGGCCAGTTACACTAAGCGGGAGTGGTGTAGACGTCGAGGCGACCCCTGCCAGATTCGCGACCGGGACAACCGTGGAGTTCGGGCTCGGTGGTGGAATTCCATTAGGGTAAGAATCTTCGAAAATGTCTTCCTGCGCACCGTCCAAGAAGTTATACAAGTCATTATAAAATGGAGGTGAATATGTGCCCTCAAACATCTAAGCAGGCCATGTATTAGAAGGCTGAGACGTATAGAATCCATGGGTTACGAACATTGTTTCCTTCTGCCTGAAACCAGTATAATGGCTGCTTCGCTCCATATGTGCAATTTCCAGGACTAGCTTCTGGCCTGCCGTTCGCAGGGTCGGCACCACAGCGACGAGCTACTTGGGGTGCAGCCAAAGAGACGGTAGACGTAGACCCAGAGACGTTACATCGGAACCCGTTCATATAGTCTTGCCATATATATCGTTAGCAGAGGTACTGCATCGATGCGTGAGTACTCACTTTGTTCACTGCCACTATCGGGCTTCATGGTAATCAGTTCATGATATCTGGCTAAGACACGTCAACGTGAGTGAGCTGACTTACAGAATGTATCCAAAAGAAGGCACAGATGCAGCCCCCTTCCGGGCAAGGAGGCATCCTGGCCGGGACATGGAAATCAGTGAATCGAGTCCAGACGCATGTTTGATTGACTGTGAATACAGTGAAATCGTCAGGCTTCACGTCCGTTACGTTGGACTTGTATGTTACGGCCAATCCGCAGCCCTTAACGTCGTCGATCCCTGTGGTATGGAATTCCGATATTGGCGATCCAGGACAGACGTTGTCCCCACTTTGAATGTTTCCCCCAGGGTCGGATGCAAAGTAGGTTGTGGCGCCCTTGTCGCAAGCGATCTGGGCAGTAACCGGCTTTCCAGCGGGAAGTTCGAAAAAATCTCCGTCGTTCGGAGGATAATCGAGGTGACCGTGAAACCACCATTGATCGAAAGTATAATTTATAAGAGGCGCCACAGGACGGTTGTCATACGGAAAGGTCTGCATTGTAACATTAAAACCCCACATGCTCGGATGCCAGATAGCTATAGACAGCCATCAGATAAAAGTGTACAGTAATTCACTCAAAGATGACCTACAAGCATGGGCCATAACTTGAAGTACTAAAATTGCGCCGACTGTTAATGGTAGCAGCATTGTGGAGTGGAAGATATGATACTCTTAGGAGATTTTAGACTAGCAAGCAAAACGAGCACCAGGCTCAGATTCAAGGAGGCGTAGGTAGATGACAAGAGATAGACGCACCAATATGCAAGCTGTCTTCTTTATTCAGATTCATCCAGCGAGGTGTACAAATGATGGCAGCAAAAGCGCTATTACATATAATTTCCTATTGTTCGTGCCGAAACGAGGATAGACCGTACTGGAACACACAGAGAACAATAGCAATTGATTGAAGACTAGTTGAGTACCCATCGTGTACAACAAACCCCGCGCTACCACATAACCATGTGGTCTCGACGGTGGGGGCAGTTTGATAGCTTCAAGGCCTCTGGTGAGTATTATATATTGTTGCGTCGGCGGCAGCCTCGGGCCGGATTTGAACTCGACAATCGCCGCGGCGTTGCAAATATCGACCACAAATACCAACAATCAAGGCTTGAACGCCAGCCACAAATTCATGTCCTCTCACAGCAGTCACTGCTAATTCCGAGTCACTGGTCACTCACGGTCCAAATCGTAGGCCATCTACTGGAAAGCTAACATTTATGCATGTGACACATTGTTGGTTTCAAGGTCATCGATGTTGTGGTCATGGAAGCCTCCACATAAGCAATCAACAAGACTTAATCTGAATTTTCGAAAATGGATGCTATCGCAGTGCGTCCCATATGTCAAAAACCCCACTCAGTGCGCTGCCAAGTTGTGCCAATTTACGTGGCGTGCGTATCGATTCATTTACTCAAAATGACTAGACATTCGATGGATACTTGTCCAATCCCGCTGTATATATTCAGGTGCGGCCTCCATCGCTACGGATTATGATCGGTCAGCTAATTACGCGACAATGTAAGAGATGACAAGAGCCAGGGCTGATGTCACCGACCTGATATGATAATTCACTTCCCAGTCGACAGTCACGGCAATATGACCTCAGGCTGTTGAGCCACTCACAGCACTTAGACAGAACTCAGAGAATCCTGCTTCCCCCGTTTACAAGGCGAGTGGACTCTTAAATAGAACAAATCACTATCGAATGGTTTGCTGCTCACTCCTGTTTCTCAAGTGGCCCGACAAGCAGTATTGTGGCTGTACAATATGAGATAGCTTGGTCAGGATTTTGCCAAATGGAATTATAGTAAGTAGGTGTGGCGGACCATTGAATGGCGCTAATTAAAGTTTCATTTGTTGGTGACGGTGTTGTTTGACGACTGAAATACAAAGATTTGAATTCATCCCCCTGATTTAGCCACGCATGGGTAGAAGGTTTGAACAATGCAGTGATAGTGTGGCGCGATGACCGTCCGCTTTGATTCTGCATTGTGGTCCAGCTCCACCTCTCTCCTGTATAAATAGCCTGATCTTGCGATGTGGCAACTCGTGCTTTCGGTTCCCCTCTTGTTATTCCTTCCAATGGTCTCATCCCCCTTGAATCCTCTCGAGACAGACATGCACCCGCTTCAGATCTATGCTCCTGTATTCTCTGAAGAAGACATCTTTCTGGGAGTTATTCCTCAACCCCCCTCCGAGGAACTGGCAACTTTGCAGGATGCTATCGCGTTCGGTCGGTGGCAGTTTAACAAGTCTGGCACGGACGACTGGGCTATAGTACCCTTAAGACCTATTGCTGGACTGACAAATGTGACAGTGCGCATGCTTCAGCTGGCGAATTCTGTGATCATGCGAGGAAACAGATATCCAGATGGTCATGATAGCAAGGTAAAGTGACCGCCGTCAGGGATGATACGCTCGCGTTGACCTCAGAATTCCTTTCAGTCATCTCATGATTTGACTAGAGGCCTGGTCATGTACAGAGACATGACACTGGGTCCCAGAAACGGACCTATTATTTATTGGAACCTCACGGGATTAGGTGATTCGTTGTCTGAGCTGCATGACAAGCCAATACCCCGCGAAGATGTCATTGATCCTCGCGTAACGATCAACACGCTCAATCTCCGAAATGTGTACAATCTCATGGCAGCAGAATTCGAGAAAGTCAAGCACGAAGCGATAGAGTTCAAGTTGTCCAGTCAGGGCTCTGTCGGACTTGGCCGTGGTATCCCTCGCAGGCGAGGACGACCGCGCAAAAGTAGGTGGACATAGGCGTCATTCAGCCGATATTTGACGAAATCGATGCCATTCCTTCGGTCACAGTAGCAGCATGCGTCATTTTGCCACAGCTTTGTGTGCATTTCTCAGCACTGGCGGTGGCCATTCAGTATTTCTGGATAGCTAGATATCGTGTCCACTGCTTTATATCTTTGTTTTAGACATAACGTTATTCTCTTCGCTCTGCAACTTACTTGTACGCTACATTGTCACGATCGTCCACCGGTGATACCGTAAATCATTTTCCGGCTCGTATGACACTATCATAATATAGAGAACACTGACAGTCTCTGCTAGGCTAAATGCTTCGACATCGAAATGGCGTACTTGTAATTTCAAATTTCGATTCACAAATTTTGTACATGTCTAGCTAGACATGTTCTATCAATTACAAACAACACGATTTTGTTTATGCTTAGGACTGCTCTCTTACAACGACTCGCACCTCGCACCGAGCTTAGCTTGCAGGAATCTACTGTGATAGCTGATGAATCTTGAGGATAATTGCTAAAAGTAGCAGATAAGTTTCTATCTATTGAGCTGAATGGGATGACGTACCCTGAGGATCCAGACCCTGATGAGGGATCTGCTCGGTAAGTCCGCCGCAACCTGAGTGACATGCATTAGTACGAAAAAGAAAGTATCTTTATAAGCATACTTGCCCTCTTTATTTGTTCCCATGTAACCATACCGCGGTGTCAACTGACGCTCAAGCAGCCAAGTACCGAATTTGGAGCCAAGCTGCAGCAATATGAAGTGAACGTCAGAAGAACCTGATGTACACACTCAGTTCTCACGCACCCCAGTCTTCTGGTTTAAGGACTCCACAACGAGCACAAAGGGACTTGAACCAATCTTCTTGATCATTTCTTCGTCCACAACGTTCAATGTTGGCTTGTTGATCAGACCAACGTTCAAGCCCTCCTGTCTGCACCGGAGGACGGCATCCCAAGCGCGATACAGCATCTCACCATATGACACAACGTAGCCAGCGGTTCCCTCAGCGATTACCTCATCCTTGCCTGGGACGAATTTGTATTCGTCGTCAAAGACCCGTGTCTTGCCGTCCTCACGGAGCATATATGGCACTTTCGAACGGGTTGAGAAAACGAACCGTAGACCACGCTCAAAAAATACCCGCTGGATGACAGCGATCATCTGGGCAGCATCGGCAGGGAAGTACAGCCACGAGTGCGTATCCGCGAGACCGTTGTCAGCAAACAACGAGTTCACACCGAAGTGACATGTGTTATCCGCCATCTACGCTGTAATATGAGTAATATTCTTTAGTCGCAGGTTATAAAGCCAACTGACCTCGTCAACTATACAAGCAGTCATATTAGCTAACGTTCTGTCAAAATTTTGGATTTGAACGCCTTACCTCCGGAATGCGAGAAGTGGCAAAGGACGTTGCAGTTATTAAGGCGCGCCATAGTAATCTCGGAGATAACCATTTCCAAAAATGCAGAGAACGTGGAAAAGACACCGAACTTGTTCTCGTCGAATCCGAATCCAGCCGCAGCGCTGAAGTTGCCGCGCTCCATGATACCGGACGGAACGAAGACCTCCGGGTGCTTCTCGTGAATAACTTTCAAACCGGTTGAACCCTCGAGATCACCTATGATCATCAATCAGCTTGAAATCTCCACTCAAACAGATCAAACTCACTGTCAATAACCATAACTTTCTTCGCAGCTTCCTCCTTGGAAAGCTTGTCAAGTACCAAGTTGACCGCTTGACCAAAAACAACACGATTCGCGCCAACTTCTTTTGTGGAACCAATATAGAGGTACGGGATTGAGTGAGGCTTGATATTGTATAAGATATCCGTCGCCATTGTCTCGGGGTGGCCACGGGACTTGAGGTAATTGACCGCGGCCTTGATCGGAATGACATCGTGCCCGTGCGTGCTGCCTTCAATATCGGCCACGCCAGGTGCCATCAAACGCTTGCAGACAACGGCGGCGGGTCCATCATATACGATGATATCGCACAACGCCGACCACAAAGCATCTAAATCCTCACCCTGAACAGTAAAGACTTTCAGTCCGTGGCCGGAAAGCGTCTTGGCGAGATCATAGCCTTTCAAGTACTGGGATGGGTGACCAGCGATCGTGACGTCGTTGTCATCAATGAGCAGCTTCACGTTCAGCCCCTGTGCTACAGCGAGTCGCGCCGCTTCGGCATCGTTACCCTCTTGCTGCGAGCCATCAGAGCCCAACATGAAGACGGTCTTGTCACGGTTGGCGAGAGCGATACCGTTGACCCATGGCCAGACGTGACCAAGACGGCCAGAGGAGAATTTAACTCCGGGTGTCAGGCCGAGCTCGGGGTGACCAGGCAACTTAGAATTTGCCTCACGGTAGTGCAGAAGGTGCTCAGCCGGGATGTGTCCGTCAATTGCAGAGAGCAAATATTGCGTCGCGACGCGGTGACCTTCGCGATCACGATCAAACGCGAATCGGAGCGCATATAGTCGGAAATACTCACCAGCCTCGTCGAAAAGAATGGGAACGTACTTATCCGAGTGGTTAAACAAGGAGAGTAGCAAGCAAACCTCAGGAACGGTGTCGTAAGCACCACCTAAAAATGCTATGAGTCCGAGTAGGAACACATGAAAACAAACGTCGTACCCGTGTGTCCGCTGACGCCCCTGGCGGCGCCGGTAGCAGTGAAGAGCACGATGGCATCGCGCATAAGCTGGATGTTATACGACAATGCTGCCTTCTGCTCCGGAGTGAGCTTAGGGTTTGAAGGGTCAAGGGTAACCCTATCTTATGAGATCAGTACTGTGGGGGCATCGCACAAGGGTAGTCGCACTTCTTCAACGACTTGAGGTCGATGGGGAACTTGCTCTCGGGGCCAGACATTTTGCGCTTGTGGGGGGGTGGGGTGGGGGGAGATGGGGAAAAGCAAGAGAAGAGCGGGCAGCGATGATGCTGAGGCGTGGAGCGAGAGACCGCTTTATCATAATCTCGCGGGCGATCAGCGATGGCGGACCGGGGTTCCCCGCGGTTACCCCAGGCGGCGGCGACACTTGAGGGACAAACGTTTGACGGCGCACACATCTGGCTCACGACCATGAGAACCCTCAGCCATCTCCATGCAGCGGGTCCTCCCCCGAGGTGCGGCCTCCCACAGTTTGCAGGCCCTTCGCCCCGCCAATAACGGGCAGTTCTCGCCGACGCACATAGGAACCCTTCATGACGAGCAGCAATGCTTCGGAAAGCGCATCAGGCGGGCGCTGGGCCGGATAAGTCCAGTGAATATAATCCAGCGACGTAGCTGGGCTCTAATGCAGGGTCCAGAGGGCACGAGTGATATCCAGGACTGTCATGTCGCGCTTGCTAGTATCATTCAGTCGCCACCGCCCATCGGTAGATACCACACCCAGTGGGAAATTTCCGTCCTATTCATGACCGCTCGCGAACGCTGAAGTAAGTTTCCCTCAGTGCTATGATTGTGGACGGCTGAAAGCTATCCATCAGACGGGTCAGTGCTACAGCCTGAACAAGACTGCGGAATTTTACACGGACGTGTGCATCTTCGGAGCCGCTGTTTGGCCCCCGAGGTGGGATGGGAGTGACCTAGCTGAGTTACCTGAGTGCAATATAAGTCATACAGGCTAGAGCGTACTTCCGTGTCAACTGTGCGCATATATCCGTGGACGCGCGTCCCAGCACGTATGTGTGGCATTTTCCCGTTTAGCACTCGCTGAGTGCTACGCAATTACATGCTATGTATACAGCACACGTAACACCGCTGTCAATCTCTTCTCATGTAGCAAACCAACGCAATCGCCAACACAAGTCAATCGAATGTCGGTGTTATTACTCATGATCATACAAATAAAATAATTTAGAACATTTAGCTACAACATACCAAGATTACAAGACAACGCACGCAAAGCGCGTGATTGGTACTTACGTACATCTGGGGGAAACTCGCTCCTACGATATTAGAAGTTACGACGCCGGCCAAGCATCCGTGCACGTCCTATCGGGACGCTTGCTGTTTCGTCCCCTGCAGTCGAACTTCCCACAATCCTGACACGGGTTCGTACAGAACGCTCGTCCACCCTTGCCCTTGCACTCGTTCGAGCCGCACTTGCAGCAGTGGCGAATCCGCTTCTGCATTGGCTCGGACAGATTCTGGTCGGGTGAGCCATCGACTATGGAGAACGTGCGCTTTAGTAAATTGGGGTTTGGAGCGTTGGGGTCATGCTGCATGGGGGGCGGGTGAAAATATGGGTAAGGGGCATACGCGTATGGGGGGTAAGGCGGCTGATATTGAGCGTACTGCGGCGGCGGTTGTGGTGGTCGGTTAGGGTCCGGACTGATCGCTGGATGAGCAGGACTTTCGGTCGCGCCGACAACGGTGCTAGGTCCCGCTTCGGTCTCAACACCATCGGTTCCCACTGCGCCACTGTTAGCGTTCCAAGCTTCGTTAAACTCTTCTGTTGCCTAAAGCCATTTATGTTAGTAATGCAAATAAAATGGGAAATGCACTGAGGCTGACAGCTCACATCCTTGGGAAAGTGTAAGTTGCCTTCGACCTGAGCCGCGTCATCCTCCTCATCCTCTTCTTCCTCCTCCTCCTCTTCCTCCTCTTCTCCGGGCACGGCCTCTGATACTATCTGTACCGCATCGTCTTCGGGAACTCCGGATTGGATAGCCCGAATGATATCGACGATAGCATCCTTCCTCAATCCTGCCTTCAGACTTGCCCTGACCATGTTCCAGAGAGCAACTGAGACGCCCATTCCGTGCCAGTTCCAGACCTCTGGTCCGCTACCAAGGTCGGGATTCCCCTGCAACAGATGCGCCGAGAACTCGTCCTTCAGCTTCGGAGGCAATGCACGCAGAATAGACGTATCCGTGCTTGCAAACCTACGGCCGTCCGGCGATGTTCCTGCGATACATATAGGACTCCTGCACACATATTCACAGCCGATGACGAAGAAGGGCTTCCCAAGATCATATACTTTAATTGGGCCAGAGCTGATACGGCCACGGTTAATCAGTGGCGCAGAACATGCAGGGCAGGCGATCCCATTAAACACAAGAGGCTGAGGGTCCCAATACAAGAATCGGTGATCGGACGGTGTACGAGCAGTCGACGCGGAAGCCGTCAAAGAAAAATACACAGGAGACGATGGGAGCCAGAACGTCTTCAGGATAGAATACAATGTTGGAATTGATGGCGTGTTCTTGCTTGCAGGAGCCAGTGAAATGAGATGTGACTTGAAAGCCTCTTCGACGGTTGGTCCTCCAGCTGAAATGGGGTTGGGCATAGTAAGAGCAGAGACTAGCGTTTGCAAGAAGACATCCGGGCGCGTGCGCGAGAGCTCAGCCCAATTGTCTCTATCAAGGCTAGGGTCAATGGGAAACGCCAGCTGAGCGGGAGGACGACCACGAGATAACGAGCCCATGGGTGGCATAGAAGCACGCCACTGGGTTTGAGTTGGCTCACTGGAGACGAAGTTGAATGGAGACTGTACCAATATACCCCTATCAATAAATGGTAGTTCACCACACATATCGAACACGTACTGGGTATGGGAATACTGCCGATGCCGACACAGATTGTGACACACTCGCAAACGAACCTGGAGGACGTTTCCGCGGTCGAGCCGCTCGTCGCGGACCTACTGATCCTGCCGGCAGACCATCTTTCCTAGGACGTCCCACAGGCCTTTTGACCTTTGGCTCAGCGCTGGGATCGAGCTGCTTCTTCCCACTGCCCTTCGGACGTCCAGGTCTTCGCTTGACGGGTGCCTCGGTGGTGGTTCCATCGGGGTTCAACACGATGGCTGTTCCGTTTGGAGCCCCATTGAGAGGCACGGGAGGAGCATTTGCATCGATGGGGGCCTGATGAGGGAACTGCACAGGCTGAATGGGGGACACCGACTCGGTGTTCGTAGGTTGACTGCTGGCTACATGTTGCTCAGATAGCGGAAGAGACTGTGTCGACGTCAACGTGCTTGTGAGGCTATGAATGGTATTTTCAGCCATCTATCTGTAAACATAACTATCGTTTAGTTTCGGTGTTCGCCATCGCCAGGTAAACAAAATGGGGACAATACATGAGTTTCATAGACTAATAGGCCATATGGATTGTAAGACATAACGAGCTGATTGGCAGAAATGGAGAGGTAAAAGACAGAATCAGATATACTTACGAGGAATTCCACCCACTTAGCGACCGACAACGCTATGTGCGGAAGGCTAAGTACGGCGCGCCTATAATTTCAAGACCCCAGCTGCGTATTTCCAAGCGAGGCCGCGGGAGCACGATTCCAGACGATGATAGGAGGGATTTTGCGGGGGAGGATAAGTCGAAGGTAAGGTCGTATCGTAAACCATATCCGGCATGCCACGTAACAAACAGTCGGAGCCTGAACCTAATTGATTGAAGGCTATCCCTTTCTGGGCATTCAACAAGAATACACACGTGATTCGTAGAAGACAAAATGAGCTATTATTCGTTCCATCTTTCTTCATTTGCACAAGTCGCACTTTTGTCGTTTGTCTGCTTCACCGTGTCTAAATATGAAGTTATGCGCTATTTTGAAGAGGAGTGCGCGGAGCACAAATCCAAGACAAGGCACATGGAAGCCGCGTGACGTCACGCACCAGGAGCCACAGCTTGGCCACACCTGTGGCGAGTGGACAGGCCTACAAAGGTGCGGTGCAAGAAATGTGGCCACCCCACACACAGCCTCTCTCTTTCAACCATGACCTCCAGCGTCGCCACTAAAGTCGGGAGAAAACTCTTTGCAAAGCACATACAACAGTATGAACCTGCCGACCCTTTATATGAAGACTACACGGATGAACGCGGGCGTCGACGGAAGCGAAAGGTACGCCAAGCGCATAGGTATTATATGCGTTCGTTTGTTCAGTTTCTCTTTCAGCGAGAGGTTCCCCCGGGGCTAACGCCCCGAGACACTAAGATTCTGCGCTCCGTGAACAGAAGGGCTCATTACCTCGATAAAGGGTTTAGCATCTGTGGTATGCGATTCGGTTGGACATTCATCGTAGGTGAGATAGGCGTATATTTTCGTTACCTCCTTTGGCTTACTGGCATCAAAGGCATTATACCCGGGGCCGGCGACATTGCCAATGCCACCATGAACTATGTCCTTGTTGTGCGCAAAGCCAGAAAAGCCGAGTGAGTTATCTCGTAATACATTTACCATTCAGCTTAGATAAAAATTAATGTTCGACTTCTTCATAGCATCCCCGGCTGGCTTCTTCGTCAAATGCTTCTTAACAACGCTATCGCTGCCTCGGTCGGGCTTGTTCCTATTGTTGGTGACATCATGATCGCCGTATTCAAGACCAACTCACGAAACGCTGCGTTGCTTGAAGAGTTTTTGCGGATAAGGGGCATCGAGGTGCTTAAGGAGGCTGAACAGCTAGCCGTGATGCAGACATCCGCGAGCCACGGCGGGAACCTTACCCGGG